TAAACCGTTGACCAGTTGATTGAAAGATCATGCGATGTTGTTCCGAAATCAAAATTAAGTATTTTGATTCGAAGACATAAACATTTTTCAATGTTTTCATCAAAAATATAAATAAAAAAGTTTGGTTTAACTTTAAATAAAACGACTCCTACTGCTAAATTGGATTGGATTCCTCCGATTACAGCATTAGCATGGTTTTGAAAACGATGGTCCATTAAAACAGCTATTATAGGAATATCCTTTGTGGATAAGAATAGTGGTTTAATGGTGATCAAAATCATACTGATATGGATGTATTTGACCTTGGGATATTTAGAAAGAAAATTGTTTATTTTCTTTTTAGTAAAAAGAGAAATTTCTACTGAACCTTGTTTAGTGTTAGTAGCGACAGTATCACTAGATAGTTTTTCTATATGGCGTTCAGACTAAGGTTAGAACTTTTTAAACCAACTTGTCTTGTAAATCTCATCTGGTTTGATGAATTTTAATTCTTTAATTTTATCATCAGAAATAAAATGAGTTTTTCTCATAATATTTTTTAGTTTTACCATACCTTCTTCGTTGGTAGTGGTTGTACCTGTAGAAAAGAAGACTGAAATATTATCTGTGTTAGATTCAGTATTCAGCATAAAAATAAAATGAGATTCATCATCAGAAGAACTATAATCAGTTTCAGAGAAAACTTCATAATAAATTTCTTCATCAGATAATTCTTCAGCAAAACAAATTTGAAGAAAACTTTCATCAAGTTTTTTGATCATTTTCTTCCCACTTTTTCCTTTGTTAGGACAAGCGTTTGCATAGTGACCTTCTTGATCACAAAGAAAACATTTACAAGTATTTTTAGAAGATTTTTTCTTCTTTTTAACAACAAATTTACCTTTTTTAGGTTTAAAAGTCGTAGGTTTCCATTTTTTCCAAAAATATTTACGTTTTTTCTTAAAACGAGATTTCTTTGAAAAAGATGGTTTGTTACAACCGAATTCAAATTCATTTTCCAAAATCTTTGTACATTGTTTATACGAAAGTTTGGATTTTACCTGTTTTACAGCTTTTTGCTTCAAACAGTATTTGTTACTTGGGTCTGAACGTAGTGTATTCTACATCCAAGAGTATCATATAGTTCTATACTGGGATTTACAGCATGAACAGTTTTGAGTTTTAACTCAAGGTAAACAAGGTAATTTTGAGAACTTAATTCACCCATGGTGAGGGAAGTTTAAGAAAATATTGTTGTAATCAAAAGTTGGAATGTTTTTCATCCAATTTTTGATATTCAGAAAGATATTTTTTAGAAAATTCATCTAAAAACTTTATATCAAATAATTTTAATTTTGATAAAATAAATTGAGCTTCTTGAGTAGGATCCAAGGATTCTGTACTATCGTAAAACTCATTTTTCAAGATTTGGGTTAAATCTTTCAAAAGTTGAGGGATATTACCGACAGCTAACAGAGAGGACTTCTAATGTTCTCCGAGGGTTGTTGATAGAGATATAATCCTTGGTTAGGATTAGTGTAAAAGTTAAATCCTTGGTTAGGATTTGTAGAGATCTGGGGTTTTGGAGAAGAAGGAGTAGAAGAGGAAGAAAAAGAAGAGGATTTTTTACTTGGTTTCTTCTTGACAGTTCTCCAGCCACCAGTATCATGGATTGGGTGTTTTCCTCGATTCATGAGGTCTACTTAGGAAGTCTGCAAGGAGATTTTTGTCTCCGTTGATGAACTCTACCTGAAAATGATAAGAATAAAGAAATTGTACACCTAATTCCATTGGGATTATCAGAAAGCTTTTTATTTTGGAGAAAATTTTTGACTGCTTGGTTATCTGTTCGGATAACAAAGAACTTCAAGGCTAAATAGATGTGAAATCGCTGTACACCATTTTTTATGGCTAATAATTCTTTTTCAAAAATAATATAATTTATTTCGTTCAGTGTGAACTTACCAGAATCATATCCACAAATCAATTCATCTTTTTTATGTAGATTTTTAGCTTTTAAGACACATCCTCAATGTTCATCACTGGCATTTGTCTCTAAAATTAATAGGTCACCTTGTTTAGGTAGATAGACCTTAGGTATAGTGGTTAAATCTGATTTGATCTGTTTGACAATATCAGAATCGTTAGGTGTCCAGACAAAATCATTATCTTTACGCAATTTACGCAAAAGATAGCTTTCCTTTTTGGAAAGGTTTTTGAAAAATTGCCTGCCATAATTAAGTATACCTAACAGCTGTTGTAGCTGTTTGACATTTTCCAGGGCTTCTGAAAAGTCTCTGATCTTGGAAATAATGTGATCCTGCAGGGTTAGTCCGTTGGCAGAAGATTAAGACCAAGAAATTCAATTTCGGTTTTTTCAAGTTCAACCTTTTTGGGACTTAAAATAATATCGTGTAAAATAAATTCTTGAGCAATGAGATTCAGGTGTTTCCTGTGCTCATCTAAAGTATTAGAAAATATCAAAATATCATCAATATATACACAGCAAAATTGTTTATGTTTGCTGAAAATATTATCCATCCAACGCTGAAATATTTGAGGGGCGTTGCATAGATCGAAAGGCATAACAGTCCATTGGTAATGGCTTGCTGGTGCACTAAAAGCAGTAAGAGGTTTAGAGGTTTCATTGAGCATGATTTGCCAAAAACCTGACTTACAATCAAATTTAGAAAAGTATTTAGCATTTTTTGCTAAATTAATTAAAACATCTTTTCAAGGGATAAAATAGCCATCAAAAATAAGATTTTGGTTTAATTTCTTGTAATTAATAACCATACGGGGTTTACCTCGTTTAATCTCAGAATGGGTTCTTACCAAAAATGCTGGACTGGAATATGGACTGGTAGTAGGCTCTATCAGACCTTTGTCGAGCAATTCTGAAATTTGAACTTCAAATTCATCTATATCCTGTTTGGTATAGATCATTGGTTTTACTCGAATAATCTCTTTTGGAGATTGAAGAGTAAGTTCACAGTATCTTGGACTGCGCTTTCAAAGCTTCAATGGGTCTTCACTGAAGTTTTCCTACAAAATTCTATAAAGCCAATGTTTTTCATTAATAGCTTTAAGTTCAGAAATATGTGTTATTTCTGGTTGAAAACCATTATCACAAACATGATTGTGCTTGGATAATAAAGGAACATCTATTGATTTTTTGTCAATAGTAAAAACAAGATAATCAGAAAAAACTGAAAAGGGTAAATATTTATGTATGAAATTATTTCCTAATAACATGTCTCCATGCATATTGGGAAAACATAATATTTTAGGTATAACGAATTTTATATCGTTTAAGGCAATAGGTATATTTTTTGCCTTCAGGTTAATAATGGTTTCTTTACCATCGATACCGACTATTATTATAGGATGCTTCATAGGTTGCCATTTGGTTGACGGCAAAGCATTAGGTCGATAGCTAGAGATTGTTGCTCCTGTGTCAATCAAAATATTCAAACTATAGTGTTTATAGTTTTGAAAATAAAAATAACCTTTAAAATAAGTATAATATCTTACTTTGTTAGCAAAAGATATTATTTCTTTAGAGATGCGAAAATTATTTATAGAATGAAACATTTTTATATCTTCATGTCTAGGTTTTCTAGAAGAAGAAGTATGTGAGTTAATCACAGAGTTAACAGAATGATAATGGGTTTGATTATCGAATGTACCTTGCTGAGATGGATTATCTCCGGCAAAAATAGGAATTTGAGCAGATTCTGTATTACCTGATTGGCGCATACTATTTGCTCTTAGTAGGGTTTCCGTACTGTTGGTACCATGAAATCCTGAAAAAAAAACTTTGATATGGAGTACAAAAAGATTGGTTACTAGTTATACTCTCAATATCATCATCTGTTTGATGTTCAAAAACATTTATTGGGGTTCAATGAATCTTTTTACAAAAATACGTCTGCCATCAGTCCAACAGGCTATTTTTGGATAGTCTTGTTTGGTGGCTAAATGGAAAAAGAATTTTGCTTTGTCCATAAGGTCAGTTCCGGTTTGGAAGTGATAAGAGTTTGGGTTGGTATATTTAGAGATGATTTTGTTTAAATCATCAGAGAATTCAATGTGATCTGTGGGTGGATCAAGTATATCATAGGGTTGAAGAAAGTGTCCACCAGATATGGTATCAAATTCCCATATTTGATAGGATTGGTAAAATCTTTCTCGTTGAAAGGTACCCAAAAAACTGTATATAGTAAAATGAACGTAAAAAAGGTGTTTTGACCATTTTATACATTCGATAAAGCGGTGCTTTATAAAAGCTAAAAAAATCTTTTAAAAGATGAAAAGAATAATTCTGTACTGTTATTTGTCCAACTAAACCAAGTTCAATACTTTTTATATCAAAACTTTCGTGGTCAAGTCGAAACTTTAGTTTAGGTATGTACTCACCAAAAGATGTATTATACATATATGTAGAAGTATAATAATCTGAAAATTTATCAACCAACAGTTTTTCTGTTGACTGTAAAATAGAAGAATTAATTTGCTGAAATAATTCTGGGGTTAAGAATACCGCAGCTTTTTCGAAGAGAAGAATTCTTTTAAGCTTGTTTAGCTTAGAAGAAACAAAATTATCTTTCTCAAAATATTCACATAAATTCAAGAAATTATTTATTTCTTGAAGACTGTACTGGTTTTCTTCCAAAGCAAAGAAATCAATATCTTGCTATTTTAACAAATTTGTTGATAAAAGACTTTGGAAATCTATTTCTTTAAAAGTCTGAAATTCTTTAGCCTGTTTGACTAAGAAATCAGCTAAGTTGGTCATTCCTTTGCGCAAGCTAGTTTTGTTTTCTGAGAGATGAAATTTCCAAACTTTGTTTAGCATATTATAAACTTGTGGTTCAAGTCCTGAATTGTAAAAATCTTTTATCTCTGGGTTAGAGAATTTTGTTCTTTCCAACAATTGTTCTGTGAAAGAAACGACAATTGTTCTTTGAAAGAAACGATTTGAGAATAACTCATAGGAATCCAGTCGTTTGGATCTTGAGCAAACTGTGAGTATTCTGATTGAATTCTCAAGCCCCCTTATTTTCAAAATATTGACTAAAATCCAAACTCAACTCTTGATTATAAGACCACAATAAAAAAAAATACTTATCATATGAGATAACATCATTTTAACAAGCCTGAAAGAGAGGAAAGAATAATGAAACAAAATCTGAGTTTTTATATCATATTAAGCATCTAACCTAAAATCAATCAACAATAAATAAAAAGATTTAATTTGAATATAAAATCATAAAAAACACAATACTTAATATATGGGAGATAACATCACTTTAACGTAAATATTCCAAATTAGAAACAAACTATGGAAAGCTTAATGATTTGATTGTCATACAAGAAAAGCTTGCATATGTAGATGCAGGTGAGTGATGCGCTTGATGCAGCTAGCAGAGGTGGAAAATGGTGACCCTGAATAAGACTTACATGGAGCACCATCAGAGTGCATAATTTCCCCCAACAAACGGAAAGGACCAATGCTGATATTATCTCGTACTCAATAACTTCACCTCAATAGATAGTTAAGAAAATTATATAAATATTTTGTTTGGTTCAGTAATAACGACCTCAATTGCCATTATATTCTACTTCTAGTTGACAGCTCCTGCTTTACTTGATCCCTCAAAACTCTTCTCAGTAATTTGTTTGAAGCCGTTCGGGGAAACTCCGGAACTATCTTAACAAAGCTCACCTGTTATTGTCAAAAGAGAAAGAAAGTGAAATCCCCATCAGCACATAGTGCTAGGATAGCAATGAGTAGTTTCTGCATATCATCTAAAACTAAAACTCTTTTAAGAACTTAAAAACAAATTAGTTCACTTCCCAGAGGCGAGATTATGAGTCTGGCAAACAGTTGCCATCAGCCAACAAAGAAGTAATAAGTTATTTGTTCTTAGAGGAAAACATGACCCAGTTTTGCTGGTCCAAGCCCATCCATGGAATGAGCACCATGATTTTGACTTCTCATAAAGGTAAATATCATTAAAAAAAATGAACAAAAGGCCATTTAATGAGTGAATGAAAATTCAGTCTGTCAATCTTTAAAATGGAATAGCTGATTAGCATTTGAAACCAATATGTATGAGTTTTCGCTAGACTGAAACTATTTAAAAGCGACTTTTCTTGAGGGTCCTTAAAGGTGTTTACACCAAGAAAAAAGCTTTATTATAACTCTAGGATTTCAGTAATAACTTTGTAAAAAACTCAGTAATTTAAAAATTTTTTACTTGAGTTCGAATATAAGGATGCTTCATATGGTTAGGTTAGGTTAGGTCCCCAGACAATATGCATAAAAATGAAAATGATATTACACATCCCAGATGTCTAACCTTAAACAAAGGATTGAGGTTGCTCTGAATAGCTTTTGAGAATACCATCTTCAACTTCTCTGGCTGATGATTATATCCTTGCTTTAGCACCACAAATATTATCAACTGTTCTGGACCACCATCTGGTGGTGCTACACTGATGGCAGCAGTCTCCAAGATGCTTTCATCAGCTTGGTCGCAGACACGCTCAATTTCAACAGAACTTGTCTGCATTTCAGGAAGGATTTTAAATTTCTTGCTGCATTTGCTTTGAGTGTACAACAATAAAGGATTGCAAAGTACCAATTTCACTGTCATCCAATTAGTACTATGATATCAATCAAGAGCATATTTGACAAAAATAATCAGTAGTCAAAGAATTGCTTCTTGCGATATGATTCCTAGAATGCAGACTCCAAAATGCTTGCAAATAACATTAAACATCTTCAATTTGCTTCATTATCAACGACTTGAAAGAGAGAGAGAGAGAGAGAGAGGGAAGAATGCTTTACCTTTATGCCACCAAGATTCATGGTGTCATCGGCCCTGCCCTGTACAATTAAATAGCCACCAACAGTTCTTTTAAGGACATCCCCATGCCTCCTCAAGCGCTGCCAGTTCATGCACCAAAATAATAAAAATGTATAAGAAACTGCTTCCAAGTATCAGTTTAGAAGAATTACATCGCAATTATGTATGTTACTTCCCTAACAGCTATTAACTAAAGCAAACAAATGAGGGTTAATCATTGACAGCTATTCATGAGTAAAAACGTTTTGGTCCAATGCCATATGTTGTGGTTTAGAGCATTGATGTGCACAGCTTGGTTGCCTCATGGTTTTTGAGGCAATAGGCTAGTCCCCAAAAGAGAAAGAATTTTAGGGCCTCTACCGTTGGGGAAGCAACATTTGGATTACAAGGGGCTTCCCCATGCTTGAGGACACTAAGCACAAGTTAAAAAATCAATTGACACTTTTTTGGTTACTCTTTTCTCAGATTTTTAAAGATGTATGATCAGATGAAACAGTCAGGATATCTATGCATTTAGGGACTCACTGCACTATGCCTTGAAGCTGGTCAACTAGACCCATAAGTCCTTTTGAAATGTCTGCACACCTTGTAATTTAAAAAGAAAAATAACCACAAAGGGACGTGCAAGATTCAGTTTAGGAGTTGTAAAAGGCTATTGCCTCTGTGATGGTTATATTCTGTTATTTCAACTATAATTGGGGGCGTATGCTACGCATAGCATTACAAATAAGTAAAAATATAGATCTCCACTTTAACTATTCGAAGAAAGACAAAGTAGCCCTGGTTTGCTACAGATTCTTACACAATTCAGGTACGTCATGATCTTTTCCAGTTTCTAGGGGCTGTGTACGTTTTGCCTTTATCGAATATATATTGGATTCTTTACCAAAATATATATTCTAAGAAAGTTGCATTTAACCTTACCATTCCATTATGCATTGGCATTCCCTCAAAATAGACTTTCTCATGATCAGCATTAAGCAATTTATCACTTGCTCCGAGGTAGAGAGGGAGTAAACCCACTTCACCAACACAAGCTTCATCATCCAGCTATCACAAAGGTCAGACAAATCAAAACATAGTAATACATGTAACATTAAGAAGAACATAGATCAGTTTGTATGACTCGTTTTATTCATTGTTGTCACCACGACAATTATTATCCATCTAGCACTCAAAAACAAATCAGGTAGGGGCATGATCAAGGACAACAGTCAAAGAAATTAAACCACAGACAAAACCAGCCAGAAAATGCTCTTACATAAGAATCTCCATGTTCATCCAAGATGACAAAGCCTGCCGTCATTGCTGCAGTGCTAAAGGTTCCAAAAGCTTGTGGCTGCAGCAGGCTTCCTTGAATATATGCCGATGAAAGCTCTGTGCCTCCACAACTTTCAAGAACGGGCTTGTAGCAAGATTTGGAAGAAAGCCAAAGGTCATCATCAACATTGGAGGCTTCTCCAGTAGTAGCAAAGCATCTAAAGATATTTATTTATCAATCCATTTTGTGGAGAATTCAAGTCATATAACAACATTTACTCTTGAAATTCAAAAGAATTACTTTATTTTTGTCCAGTCCAAACCTTCCAAACAGTTCGTACTTTTCCAAGTTTTCACCAAGCTTGGAACTGTGCCCAAAACAGTCACTCCAGCATCCTGAACAAGATAACAGTAGGAAACCAAGGTGGCTTAACATGTTATACAGTGGTATACGGTATTTTAATAATAATTGTAGCATGAAGCCCAACTTTTTTACTAGAAAAATCAAAGGAAACTGTCTACTATTTTTCCCTACGAAGACCTGTTCATAGCACCTCTTATCTCACTAGAACCAAGAGAAGTTCTTATAGTCTTGTTTTGCATAGCCCCCAAGCAGCAGCTTTTTTTTTTTTTTTTCGCTGATTGTTGTGTTGTATCTATGTTGTCAGAAACATATTATTAGTCCTACATATTAGGGACTCTGTTTTTTCTATTTCATCTAAGCATATGATACACCAAAGATTACTTGGCATCAGCTCTCCAAAGGTTTAATCTCCCTTAGTTCTATAATAATTCATCAGCTCCTGAGATTTACAAAGCCTAATTCCCTTATTTCAGCCATTTTCTTCTATAATTTATTCAAATATTATTAACCATGCTATAATCTAAATGGTAGGCATATGGAATATTAGCATTGGTTGTAAAACATGCTATAACCACGTGATGGCCATTTACAGTAAAAAAAAAAAGCACTAAAGCATTACCTGAATAAATTTTCCAAAACCACGGCCCAAAGGAGATCCATGATACAGAGCTAGTGTTGCACCATTTAAAAAGCATGTGAAGAGCAGAACAGGCCCCATCACCCATCCTAGATTTGTGGGCCAGCAGTAAACATCCCCAGCTCGAATATCATTGTGAGCCCACCCATCAGCAGAGCATCGAATTGGGGAAAGTTGTGTCCATGGAATGGCTTTGGGTTCTCCTGCTCAGGCCAAAAAGTTGGGACTAGAAAATAAAAAAAAGTGCACTTCAAGCTACAATTTGAAGTATGCACAACAGTAGAACAACTTTTTCTACCTGTGGTTCCAGAGGAAAAAAGAATATTGATGGTAGAGTCAATCGGTCGATAAATTGGATGGTAATGATTGGATCTGCCATGAGGACAGTGTCATCACACATAACAGTAAATTAATCTTTAGTAGTGTTCAATAAAGAAAAAGAGAGAGGAAGTAAAAGTGTTAACAACAATTTAAGTGATGAAAACTGATAAACAGACCTTTCATTGCAAAATTTCTCTAACCTAATAATTGTAAAGATTACCTTTGATGTTGATTGACACTGGAAAGGAATTCTTTCCATGATAGATCCTGTTTTCTTAATTTAATGCCTAGATTATTCCCAGTCACAGGGAGCACGATAGCTTTAAATGGATCAGCTTCCACAACACGACTGCGTAAGAAGGATAAATCCTCATGATTGCACCAGTAATGTTCTCAAAAACATATTAAACCTCAAATATGTCTTGCAGATCATTTCAGACCTTCAAGGATGTGCGTTAGAAAAAAACCAGAATTTGGAATCTATCACTGAAAGGAAAGCAAAATTTTTTTCTGTTATTTGAAGGGAACAGCCTAGGTGTCTTGAAGAATTCAATGAAGTTTTAGTTGAGGAGAATGAGATCAAAGCATGCCAAATGAAATCTCAATTCCCTACCAGTTCATATGACTAGGTATTAGACAGCTCCCTCCCACATCCATTTGACACAAAACAAAATTCTCTTCAAAAAAAAAAAAAACCATAGAGAGAGAATAGAAAAGATGTTTTTGAATCACAAAATTCACTTTAGACTGGTTTAGCAAGCACAAAAACATGGATTTTCCACCAACCATACTTGAAAGGAGAAAGAAAAAGAAATTATAGATCTAGCATGTACAGAAAAAGTAAGTTTACCTGTATAGAGGAACCCTTCGACCTCCTCTCAGTATAAAATCCTGAACAGAAAGTGAAGATTTGTATCATTTCCAATACAAAGCAGAAAAGAAATTAGCTTTAAAATTGAAAGTTTTACCAAAGCCAATAGGGCCAATATTTACATCATTGCCAAATTTCTTAAGCTTTGATTTCAATTTCATCCACTATAATATGAGTCAAAGAAAGTGTAATAAAAAAGAATGTCAGTTAGTACAAATAACAAACAGTAAGCTAATCACCATATGGAACTATGCACTTGACAGTAACCCTACATTTATCTGTCAATTTAAAAATGAAAAAAAAAAGATATGGGAAAAAGTTTGGCATCAGAAGACGAGGAAAAACTTCAAAAGAAGTCCATTAGACAAGATATACAAAGAAGATTATGAATAATGCAGTAGGAAAACATAACTGCAGAGACCCCTTTACCAACTATTGAGCATCACTAGTCATTTAGAGAAAAGACAGAAATAAACAAGCAGATATTCCGACCACCTATAACTCATATGCATCAAATACCATATAATATGAACTTTTCACCAATGCACAAAACACTGTAAAACTGAAAAATCTGGGATATTTTAGTTCATACCCTTTGCGAATTGCATATCTTTAATGAATTTTATAACCTAAGGAATTCGAAAATATACCTGAGTGAAGATAGCCTTCGCATTAGAGACACGCAAACGCGTTGCAATTTCCTTCGCCGCAAAACTGTCAGCTATGGATACAACAACAAATCCAGCTAATATAATTGCCAGATATATAACAACGGCACTGACTGTCATTGGCATGTCAATGGCAATTGCATCACCTTTTGAAAAAGTGGCATCTAGTGCATTTGCAACCATCCTGTGAATCATTTTTCAATGTCTGACCACAAGGTTAATATATAAAGATACTAATCAAACCCAAAAAAAAAAAAAAAAAAAGAATGAAGATAGTAGAATAATAATAGAGATGAGATCACTACATACGGTGGAAAAAATATCAGTGGTATATCGGGATTGATAAAGGCTATGCTCATAGACATGCAGCCCTATGCCTTGAAATGAAATAATGGAAATGAAAAAACAAAAAGAACAATGATGTTTACCAACAATAACTTTATTTCTTGTTAATGCATAGCAAAAATTCAAACATGCAAACAAAGAGAAATAAACTATCCCACCCTGCCCACAATAATAAGATACTGTCTAACTACCAACTGTGATAGAATATAAGATCATACATGACTTGTTCGCGAAGTTCTTTTAACGTAATGCGATTCACATCCAAATCATCACAGCCTTCTTCTCTCCATACAAGAGCACAACTATTTTCCTCTTTTCTAGGATGGGTAGAGGACAATAAACAACATTCAGCTATATTCAAAACTGCACCAGGAAGCCATGTCCCACTGGGTTTCAATTTGTTACTTTTATCTAGAATGCAACTTGGGGATTCACGAAACACAACCGAAAGTTCTTTTAGAACGATAGACCAATAAGTCTGAAATTATTCAAATTTTCAGTTAGAAGGGAAAAAAATCTCTGTAACTTTATATACATTTTAGTATTAGATTAGCATTTATCTCAAAAGGTACAAGGACAAAAATTAGTGTTTACCTCGGGATGCTGGACAGAGAATTTCTGAAAGAGGCTAAAACTTGCAATAGGGTCCTTGTATGAAGTCCCTAAAAGCTTTGGACCATGAACCTCCATTATACGTCCCAGGTTTGTAAATTTAGACTCGCATCTAAAAAAAAATATTAGGCTAATTTAGCAGAAGATATCATATGTTAAGTTCAACTCATTGATTTGAATGACTATGCCCACTATGCTGTCCTCTTTCACTGCTAATCTACGACAATTGAATATATCAGAACTATGTTACATTAGCCTAAAATTTAGCAACAGAGATTTTCTAGACATTCACACATATGTTAACTTTAGAACTAAAGCACTTTTTTTTTCCTTTCTTACAGTAAAATGCAAATATAAGCATCAAGCAGCAATGAAGCGTTTTTATGAATGAGCAGTGAATTCAACTCATCAAACTCACAGCACATAATGTAGGAAACTGAAAACTGTCACTCATCAAACCATACAATCAAGTTGGGCTTTATAAGGCAATAATTAACAATAATTTTGCTAATTTCCATTTTCAAGTGTCTAGTCTACTCTCGAGTTTCACTCACCTTTCCACTAATGTTTAATCATTTCCTCTCTCTCTCTTTCCTTCTCTCTACACCTGTCTTGTAAGAGCAGCTAGATTACTTACAAAATGGAAATACCCGTACCCAGCCCTATTCTATTTCAATAGCCATACTAGAGTTTAGAAAGAAAGGAAAATAGTAAAACTAAGAGGAGAGATTACAGAGAAGGGAACCAGTAAAGAGGAGGGCCATTGGTGGAGGCATCCCAGTTGGCATAGACAGAGTAGTAGACCAACTGATGTAGCTGATGAGAGTGCCATGGCTTTAACCCTCCCCTATCTACCACATGTTTCCAAACCTGTCTTGGGTCAGGGTCAGACCCTACGGTTCCTGCTATGGCTATAGCTATGGCTTCTCTTATGACTTGAAAAATCTCGGTGGCTTCCTCTATGCTTATGCTCGACCCACCTGCCGTGCACAAATCTTCTAAGCCCACTTCACCTATGCTCTTTCCCATCTCATTGTCTGCGTCTCAACTCTCAAGACTGCCTGACTTTCTCTGCTCTAAATGAAGTTTATTAATACCTGCTAATGTAGGTGTTAGGTGCGAAATGACATGGAAGACGGTGAGCCACGTGTTCAAAACTTGCAGTACAACTATCAGTCTTATTATTCCCGGCTACTCAGTTTTGGGTTCCACTCAAGTCAATTTAAAGTCGCATTTTACATTTCTGAGTTTAAATTTATTTGTTATTAATACGTGTTAAATATGGTCATCTCATAATAAAAACTAGACGTAGCAACATGCTACGCTGGAGTAAATTATCTTTTATCAAAAATTATTTTTATTTTTATTATTTATTATTTTGAATACATTTATAATTATTTTTATACAAAAATAATAAAAATAAAATAAATAAAAATATTATAAAAGTATTAAAATTAAAATTTAATATTTAATATATTACAATTATAGTTTTTTGTTAATTTTTTATATATTTTAATCGTTGTAGTTTTATTAATCATTTGATAAAATATATAGTTTTTAATTTATTGTAGTTTATAAATTTTTTATAAAAATATTTAAAATAAAATAAAAGATAATTTAATTTTGTTGTTAAGTCTTTTTACATTTATATTTATCATATTATATTTTTTTATTTTATTATAGTAATTTAATATATAGATAAGTTTTATATAATTAATTTAATATGTAATTTAATAAAGGTATTATATTAATTTTCATAAAATATCACATGTCAAATTTTCATGAAATGGTAATGTTATTTTAGTAATTTAATATATGATTAATTTTATATTATGTTAAAATTAAATACATAATGATGAAGCAATTATAAGGTTATTTTTGTAATTATGATAAAATATTGTAATAATTTTGACCAACTATGATAAGAAGAATATTTTCATAATTATTATAAGAAAGGTATTATAGTGATTTTGATCAATTATGATAAAAAAAAAAAAAACTAATTATAATTATAATAAGAGAGATATTATAATAATTTTGATCAATTATGATAAGAGAGATAATTTTATACTTTTGATAAGAGAAGTACTATAGCAATTTAATCATTTATAATAGGAGTATTTTCATTATTTATGAGAAAAGGGACATTTTTGCCATTTTAGACGTGTATCACCCCTTCATTAAGTCACGAGAGATACATTAAAGTAATCTCCATGACTTAATATATAAAATATAAAATTTCTTCTTTTTTCTTAAATTTTTAAATTTTATTTTTTGACAATTAAAACCTAAAATTTAAAAAATATTTTATATTTCAAAAATTAAAATTGTTTTGAAAAAATAAAATCAATTTCTTCCTTTAAAAATTTTTTACTCTTTTTTTTTTTCTTCTATACTTATAGAACCCGATTTCATCCGAGTGTTTTAATTGAATTATCGAGACAGTTTTAAATCTAATGGTTAATTTAGTTATTTCGTTTGATTTTGGAATCATACAAATTCGAGTTGAGTTGAGTTTTGGATTTTTGGGCTTTTAAGGTATTTATTGAATCTTCAAATTTGGTTTTGACTATTCAATTAGTAATTGGGCTTGGAGCCCAATCGATGAAGTAGTTAGTATTTTTTTTTTCTTTTTCATTTTACTAAAAAAAGGCCAAACAAACAGTAAGAAACTTTTTAAAAACATGTTTGAAATATTGGAAAATTGGGAAAGTATTTTGTATTCAATTCCAGAAATGGCTAAATGACATTTTAAAGAAAAAATCAGGACATAAATAGAATCGAATCGTAACAGATTCGATCTTGGTTATTCAATAAAAATCCTTGAAATTCCTGCCAAAAAAAAAAAAAAAACCATATATTAAACCCAAATCAACCAAGCCAGAAGACAGACGGCAATTGAGACAAAAAATACAGAGGAGAATCGAGCAAGACTCGACTCCAACTCCAATTCTTAGCTAATTAACTATTGCCCGAGGCTACTCATCAGTAATCTCTCACACCCAGAAAACAAACAGCAATCAAAACCAGCTATTTCCAGAAAGCAATATTCGAGCCTAATTGTCCAGTTGACAAACAACCGAGAACAGAGGCATTCAACAAGGTAATTGCAGAATCAATCGGTGAAAGCAGAGCAAATTCAATTAGACCCAAAGCCCAATAAATTTGAGCTCAGTCAAAGACAAATTGTAAAGAATCAAAACCAACAGCCCAAACTCAAAAAGCAATTAATATTCTCAATCAGGCGATCAACACAGAAGCAATTAGGAGAAACACAAAGCAAAAGATTTTCAAAATTTTCGCAAATCAGCAAGAACAGAATCCAAGCTATGTAGGCACCGAATTTTGTTCGGATCTACATTTTTTATAATCTAAAAAAATTAATTAATTAAAAAATTTTAAATTTTAAATAAAAAAAAATAAAGAAAGACAAACGAAAAAATCCAAACAGAAGAAACAAAATGAAAAAAGGTCGGCACCCGCTGACCACCCACGCCCTGCCAAGCCACTACCCCAGCCATCATACTACCCCCTCGTCCAATCCCTTCACTCCATCAACACACACTACCACCATTTTCAACCATATAAAACACTCGATTCTTCCTCCTTTCAGAGCTGGTTGAAACGCTCTGATATTTTCTCACCAGAACACCAAAAAATATGCACCCCTACCAATAACCTCTTAGATAAAAAAAAAAAAAAAAAACCAAACAAACCCCCAAATACCTAAACAAAAAAACAAACAAATCTACGAAAATCAACACAAAAAAACTATAAAATAGAAACCACAATCCTCGTCGAATTGGCGAGGAATCCAGCGCCAAGGAGATACCTGCAACAAAAAAGAAATGTTATTAGTTTGAGTTTTAAAAAAAAAAAGAATAGAAAACTTTGAACCCCGATCTACATCGATCGGGGTCATTTTCGACGAAGAGGAGATCGGATCTAAAAAGATCGCGTCGAAAGAAACTTCCAGGAGGATTTCAAAATTTTCGATCATCGACGACCACCGCCAGTGGCCACCCAGGCGACGGCAGGCACGGTAGTCTGGCGATCGAATTTCGAAGGGGCCAGAGAGAACCCAGAGCTCTAAAAAAATTTTTTTTTGTAGAAATGGTGAAATGAGCTAAAAAAATTGACTTTTATAAAAAACATTAAAAGTAAAACGACGTCGTTTTAAGCATAGGGCCAAAACGACGCCGTTTCAAGCATAAGAGGATCCGCGCGTGGACCAAACCCGACCCGAGATCCTCGCAAATCAACCCGCCAACCCACTTCAGCCAACCTTCGATCGGTTCAGACGAACCTCCAGTGAATCGATCAAATCGATCCGAATCGCTAGATCGCCCGAATTGCTGATTGAACCACCAAATCGGTCAAACCGAACCAGACTAGCGTTGACCGAATCATTGACCAGTTCGGTTTAGGTAGAAAAAAAGATTTTTTAAATTTTTTTATATATTATTATTTTTGTTATTTTAAGTTTTTATATTTATGTATGATAAATGTTTAAATTTATTAGGATAAATATCTAATTATTATTTAAATAATAATAAAATGAAAACAATATAAGATAATAACTAAAAAAAATTAAAAATATTTAAATAATAATAATAATGGAATAAACTTTTTATTTTCCCTGTCTAGATGTTGGAGGGAATAAAAGAAATATTTTCCTAAAAAAATAATTTCGCCTAGATGTTGAAGAATTATTATTAATAAATTTTCATAAAAAGAAATATATAAGAAATTTTTAATTAATTTTTCAAAAATTATAAAAAAATTGAACTTGCTCCGAAAGTTCGCCTAGATAATGGAGATTTTTAGAGATGTTCGCGTTTTAATTAAATCCCAAACCCTAAACCTTTACCAGAAATCTATTTCAAAACCTTAAGGATACATGCGAAAATCTCACATGAAATGATTTGTTCCCGAATGCTACCTAAATGATGGGGTATTTAGGAAACTCCATTTCATTAAGTTTTTCATACGAGTTTTTAATTCACATTAATAATAAGATTAATAAATAAAAAGTATAACAGTAAATTAGGATCTTAAATATAAACAGTCGCACCTAAGCTCTGCCTAGATGTTGGAGAGTCGGGGTGGCCTTATTATACTTAAGAATCCAACTTTTAAATTGCATCTCATCCTACATAACATTCATTGGCATATATACGTTAGCATGTTATTATCAATATTTATTTATACTATCCTATCTTTAATTTTTATTTACTACTTGGTAATAAAAATATTTTATAATAAAAAAAAGAATAATACTTTTAAAAAAAATTTTGTGATATTATAAAATAAAATAAAAATAACATTCCGAAAGAAATAATACTTGGTACTCTGCCTAGATGTTGAAGAGTCACTAACAATTATTTTCTATAAAGATTGTTATTTCATTTTAAGGATTATTGTGTTAAATCTTAAGCGAAAAGAGTTATTTTAAATTCTGCCTAGATGTTGGATAATTTTAAGATAATTCTTTAACTTAAAGATTTTCTCAATATTTCTAAATAAAAATTTTTAGCAAAATTTTATTTTTTTCAAATGAAGGGAATTAGTGTTAAATTTCAAATTAAAACCATTTTTATCCAACATTGAAAATAGCACATAATTAAATGGTACCAATTTATGGGTGTTGTGGGGGTGCTAATCCTTCCTCACACGTACCCGACTCTCGGACCCAACCTAATTTTTTGTAACTCGAAATTTATCTTTTTGATAAACTTTAAACCTGTTTTTATAATTTTATTAAAAGGATAAACTTGTGGGTGGCCAATCACACCCTAACAAAGATTGGTGGTGACTCCCCTTTTATTTTTCTCGATTTTAAAACATTTACGTCTGGCAGTCTCAAAACTATTACGACAGCTTAGCGACTCTACTGGGGACTTTAATTTAAGAGTCAAGCCAAAACTTTTAATTACGCACTATTAAGAATTGTTGGATTTAATTGGTTTTATTTTACATTTCATTTAATCTCTTTTATTTTGATTTTTCAAAAAAATATGTGTTAATGAATAAGATAAATTGTATGTTAGTTGTTATTTTATTTTAATTTTGTGTTTATGGTATTTTGATTAATACATTATTTTGCACACACCTTGTATATTCATGCATGAGCTCTAGACCCGGGCTCTATCCCTTTTAGGAGGAAGTGAAGTAGC